TGGGGAGGGACGTGGCTCCCCTCCCTGCTCATACCTGGTCATTAGCTATTCTGGACCTTCCTGGGGAAGGTGGGCTTTGCTCCTCATGGTCAGGACCTGAAATTCCAGGGTGCTGGAGAAAGTTGGGAAGGAGCAAAAACTATCCTGAGCCGGATGGGGAGCTGGGTTGCTGGAAAGCGAGAGCACGTGGCTTGGCTCGCTGGCTTGAGCATCACTCAGTGCTTTCCACCCACATGAAGGCTTTCTGCATTAGTTTGTAAGCTGTGCAGTTGGTGGCAGAGGCAGGAAAGGTCAGGGAGGGGAATGGTGAAATCTGTCCTCCCCCAACCCCTTGTCCCCTTGCCCCTCCCCCACTTCTTTCTGTCTCTGTCTTTGGGCAGACTGGGGTCCACGGGACACATCCCAGCCCGGTGTTTCTGAGTCCAGTGGCTGCACAGCCGTGGTCCAGCTAGAGCGCCAGCCCTGTAGCCTGCCTGTGGAGCATAGCAAAGAACACGCACACACACACGCGCACACACCCCTTTTTCACAGGGGTGCTGAGGTGTGTCTCTGATGGAAAAGCCAGGCCCCCTGCTTGCCCGTCTTCTCTGGGGAGCCTCCCTCCCCTGGTCGTTCCTCCTGGGCGCCTGGGCTCTTGGCGAGGGGGCTTGGCGGGCCTCCCTTCTCCCTGCGGCCTTGACCTTCGTCTTCCAGAGAAACAGGCAGGCGGTGTTTTCGGGGGACCCTGCGGTTCCCCCTGTGCCTGGCGGAGCCTTCGTACGGGAAGCGCCTCAGCAGGTCCCTCAGTTCTTCGTGGGGCGGCCGCCCTGCCGTCGCCCGAGGCAGGCCTTTGGTGCCAAAGGTGCCGCCAGCCCAGAGCTTCAGGGCCTGCCTTTGGGTGGCTGGGGGAAAGAGGTGCGCGTGCAGGCTCTTGGCTGAACGCGCAGGCCATGCTCCTCAGAAAGGCCCCGAAGCTGAACCTCGCTGCTCGGTTCCTGCCGTGGCCGGCGGGCAGGACGTGGCGAGAAGGGCATCACCTTCTCCCTCCCGGCTGGGGGTCCTCTAGCTTTGGCTTGTCCATCAGGCAGATGCTTTCCGGCCTTGAGGCTGCCACGTCCCTCGCCCC